TTTTTTTTTTTTTTTTTTTTACCTTAACTGCAACACTGCAGAAATTTGCCTGTGCAGTTTCAGAGAGTGAGGAAGCTCTGGGCTACCTGAAGATTACTGGCCATTTTTAGTTTTAAAGTTTTGCCTTGGGGGTCTACCAGCTCCCCCTCCCCCAAATTTCCTTCTAATTGCAGTAAATGCAGTTTTTAATAAGTTTTAGTTTTTTTTTAATGCAGGTTCTGATTTAGGGGACTGAAGATCTGCAATTTTTTTTTTTTTTTTTTTTTTTACTTTAGAGAGAGAGTGAGCAGGGGAGAGGGGCAGAGGGAGAGAGAGAATCTTAAGCAGGCTTCACCCTCAGCATGGGCCGGACACAGGACTCGATCCCTTGACCCTGGGATCATGACCTGAGCTGAAATCGGAGAGTTGGATTCTCAACCGAATGAACCACCCAGACGCCCCAATAAGTTTTAATTTTGAATCAAAGCAATTCATACACAGTTTTCACAAAATCAAATAATAAAAAAGGCATATGATGAAAAGTAGTAAATCCCCGCCCATCCTGTTCAACGCAGTTCCACCCAGCCAGCAGCAAAAACGTTAACACGTCTGTTTAGTGGTTACCTTTTTTCTTCCTTGAGAATATGCTTTTGTTACTATTTTTTGACTTGATAACAGGAGGAATTTTTTGACTTCCTGCCCTCCCAGAACCTCCTACCCGCTCAAAATGGCTGAATCACTATTTTTAAATCTCCTGTTAGCTACTTTGTTGACTTTAATAATACAATCCCCAAACCTGCCTTATTCTTTCAACTAGAGACAGAATCTGGACTTTCTGCTTTCTGAGAATAACACCACTGTTCCATTTCCTCCTCTCTGCCTGCCTGCTTATTGCCTGGACTCCCACACTGTCCGAGTGGCTAACATTGCCGTCTGGTTGTACAACTATAACTGTCCTTCCTTCTTAGCTGACAGATTCAGTCTAAAAACGGGAAACCGTAACGTATATTTCCACTGAAATGATTATTCCGATATCGTTCACTGAAGAGCTGAGTTGAACCGGGTGACTGGTCTCCTCTGTGACCGCAGAGTCATGGTGCACGTGCCAATCAGTGTCCAAGCGGATTCCCTTTCTTCCACTCCTGGTAACTCTTCAAAACCAGGCCCCGTCCGAGGTTGCTTTATATTTGAAGCATGCCTTCCTTGTACAGTTTGAAAGGTTCGTTCTCCTCTGCAGTTTTCGTTCGCCACTGGCTTCTCTTTGGGGACGAAGAAATGTATGCCTTCCAGATCATATGCATTTCCTCCAGCGTCTAACTCAACCCATCTATTGCTCAGAATTCATTCCCTTCCGTTGAAAGTCTGTTCACCCCTTTTTCTCGTTTGGAAGATTTGCCTCCTAGTTGCACCACTATGGTACGGTTAGTTTACCTTTAAGTTCTTAGCAACCTTTCCTCTTGTTTTCCCCCTTCGGGCATCCTGTGACCATTGTCATTTCCTACCGTTTGGGCTGTTTTGTGTTTTTATGGATGCAAGAGCCTCGCAAGTATTTGTGAGGATTTTCCGAGTTTAAAGTTCTTTCCTTGTTCCTTGAATTATCTATTTCCTAGAGAATCACCTTTTCATTCTATCTTAGGCTTTCCTGGTTGTACTGTGGGCTTGGGGCAAACGATGATTTCTAGCCGCCCATTTACATTAAAAGATAAGGCAGTGGAAAGGCAGACCGGCAAGTCTGCGTGCGGGAGAGTCGAACTGGCCGCTTTGCTCTAGGGCTGGCGAGCCGGTGGGTGGAAGCCAGCCATCCCGCCGGGCCCCCCACCCCGAATGCCACAAAGTTGCTCTAAATATGTACCTGCAGGCGGACGTTGAGAATCACCGAGGCCACCACGTAGAAGTAGGGGAAGTTCGTACGCAGCCGCCAGGCCAGGTCGAAGAAGGTGATGAGGGTGCGCGTGAGCCCCTTGCAGAAGGCGCCGTACGAGCCGCGGGCCGCCGCCGAGGGCGACAGCCGCACCCCCGGGCCCGACAGGGCCGCCGCCGCCGCCATCGGTCTGGTGTAGCCTCCCATTTGGTGCCGGGAGCCCAGGGCTTTGAGCCGGCTGCACGGACCCACCGATCGACTCACGGAGGGACGCACGGGGCCGCTCTCCGCGCGGGAGGCCGACCCCGTAACCGCAGATGTCAGCCGTGCTGCCCGGCGGACGCCCTCCTTCCCCGCCGCGTTCGGGCCGCGGCGATCCGCGATCGTCAGTCCTCCGCGAGGGCCACCAAGCTGAGCTGCCTCGAGGCGGGCGGAGCGCCGGAGATCGCGAGCCCCTGGACGCGGAGGGGAGGGGGACGGGGAAGCGGGGACTCAAGCTGGGGGAGGCGGGGGAGGGAGGGGGAGGGGCGCGCGGCTTTCCCGGGAGACCAGGCTTCCACCTCCCGGTGGGTCCTTTTTTTTTTTTTTTTTTTTTTAAAGTGTTTTAAATTTCAACGGAAGCAAAACAAAACTTGCTCAAAACGTTAGAAAATTTCCTTCATAAACGTGATCTTGAACAGCTTAGAAGCGTGAACCCGTTTTCTGTTGCCTCACATCCCTTTAGGAATTTTTTCAATCCACTGTAAAATGTGTACATTCTGTTTTAATGATTCAAGCGACTTTGGAAAATTTTGTTTTAGATCTTTACTATTCTTCTAATGGGAAAAGTTATACAAACAAGTTGCTAGAGGTTTTCAACAGCACAGTTAGAACAATGGAAATCAGAGTCCCTGCTAAGTTGCACATTCCTCACCCTGCCCCCTCCATGAACTCCGGTTGGGTTTTCTGTATATACTTTCAAGCCTGATATGTTCGTATAGTGTTCTTACCATGTCAATAATATATAAGTACCTCACTCTCTTGGACGACTGATCACTACCCCAATATATATGCTGACTAATAATGTTCAATAATTTATTTAACCAGTCCCCTATTGAATGAACATTCTGAATGTTTCCAGTTTTTCTTATGCGGTATGCATCATTGTATGCATGAATTTTCAAGTGGCAGAAGAGAATGAGGAATATAAGCCCATCTTTATTTATAAAAAAAATCATATAAACATATAGAGAGAGAGAGAGAGAGAGAGTGCTCAAGGTCAAAAAGTTTTACTTTTTTTTTTAAGTTTTATTTATTTTTGAGACAGAGAGAGACAGAGCATGAATAGGGGAGGGTCAGAGAGAGGGAGACACAGAATCTGAAACAGGCTCCAGGCTCTGAGCTCTCACCACAGAGCCGGACGCGGGGCTCGAACTCACGGACCGCGAGATCGTGACCTGAGCCAAAGTCGGCCGCTCAACCGACTGAGCCACCCAGGCGCCCCAGCTTTTTAATATATGTGCTTGACCAAAGAAGTTTAGAGACCCGGGCTCTACGAAACATTGAATTGGAATTTTTTCTGCCAATATGGAAGGCAATAATTATGTCTCATTGCTCCTCTAATTTGCATTCATTTAATTATCAGTGAAGCTGAGCAAATTTTCTAAACTTCTTAATCTTTCACTATTATTTTACTCATTGCTTGTAAAACATTAAAACATTGTAAATATGTATTATGACAAAAGTACAATTCTTCAGATCACAACCCCCAGAAAGACTATTAACAGATTGGTATATGTTTTATCAATTATTTACATATATTAATAGCAAGGCATATATACATATATCACACACAAATCACAAAACAAGAAATGGAATCATAAACATACTGCCCTGACAATTGTTTTTAAACGTAACGATGTATCTTACATATCTTTCCATGTTGATACCTTATGGCAACTGTGTATTATTCCTTATGGATGGCCAATAATTAACTGATTGATATTTGGATGGTTTCAAATTTTTCACTAGCATAAACAATGTTGAGATTAATATTTTTGCGTGCACATTTTTGTATGCTTCTCTGATATTTCCCTGGATTACATTCCTAGAGGTGGAATTCTTGCATCAAAAGGTTTTCATCTGGGGTGCCTGGCTGACTCGGTAGACCATGCCACTCTTGGTCTCGGGGCTGTGAGTTTGAGACCCATGTTGGGTATGGAGATTACTTAAAAATAAAATATTTACAAAAAGGTTTTCAATAAGAGACTCTTAAATATGGAGAACAAACAGAGGGTTACTGGAGGGATTGTGGGAGGGGGGGATGGGCTAAATGGATAAGGGGCATTAAGGAATCTACTCCTGAAATCATTGTTGCACTATGTGCTAACTTGGATGTAAATGAAAAAAAAATAAAATAATAAATAAAATAATAAATAAATAAAGGTTTTCATCTGTTTATGGATTTTGATACATGTTGTTAGAACTGCCTTCCACACAGCTTGTACTAATGTACCTATGAAAACTTTCAACTTTCCTAATAATGGGCATTCACTTTCTTTCAAATCATTGATATCCTGATAGGTAAAAAGATATCTCACTGTTTTCATTTGCATATTGTGATTACTAGCAAGGTTAAACATTATATGTGCATATATCCTTGCATGTTTGCATAAAAGGAATTACCGTGTCAGAGTTTTGCAGGCTTAATTTTATTCAGTATTTCCCACTCCCCAGTAAAAAGGTTGTACCAATGAACACTCAGGCTAATGGATCCCGGAGACCTCAGGGGCAGGGGTGACAGTGAAGAAGGGGATAGTTAGGCAGGCTTCTCCTCCCTTTCCCTTGTCTCCCTGCCCCACAGGCTGCCCAGGTCGTGACCCCTTTGTTTATTTTTATATTAAATTTTTTCCTAAGGCAGGCAGGACAGCACAAGCAGACTGATCATGATAAAATCGCAACCATAGCCCTATGAAAAACCAGAGTAGACAAAATAGCCTCAGGTGATGCATTAAGCAAAATGCCTCCTCCCTCACACCACACACTAAATATGAAATAGTAGCAATGGGCCAAAATTATTGTCTTTAGGAAATTATACAAGTCTCCTGGTTCTTCTTATCCACAATAGAGGGCATGTGCCTTAATTCTTCTCTCTGAATCACCCACTCTTAACGTATATGGAAAGAACACATTAACTGCTATATTGGTCTAGAGGTAATAGATTTAAATGTAATCAGAGGCTTTTGTAGCAGAAGGCACTGAATTGAACGCAGGTGTTTACCCCTCCAAATCAAATAGAAACCATTAGAAAGAAGTGCAAAGTAAACTGATTCATAAAATTAATGAAAGGGGTGAGGATAAAGGACCAAGAGTTTGAGAAATTCCCCAGATGAATGCGGATTGGCTCAATCTGAAGACTCAGTCCTGGTGGAGGGCACCACAGCCCAGTGAATCTCAGGCAAAGCCTGGGTGGGGCAGGAGCAGAAGTCGGTTTCATAGAAGAAGCACCCTCACTTTGCCAGGTATGGAGGGTTGAAGTGGGAGGATGGCATTAAGGGAGCTGTTTATGCTGAATAAGGGCATTTCCACCACCTCCCCTCCACTGCCCCCCACCTAGTGGAGGAGTTTATCTCCTGGATGAAAATGGACAGTGTTTCTCTAAAGAAAATGAGTGGGGCCACTTGGGTGGCTCCGTCAGTTAAGCAAGCGACTCTTCATTTCAGCTCAGGTCATGATCTCATGGTTCATGGGATTGAGCTCTGTGTAGGCACGGAGCCTGCTTGGGATTCTCTCTCTCCCTCTCTGTCCGTCTCCTGCTTGCTCTCTCTCTCTCTCTCTCCCAAAATAAATAAATAAACATACAAAAAAAGAAATTGAGTGATGTGTTTAAAGGGGCAAGGGCTCTGGAATGGGGTGGGGTGGGGTTGGGGGGGGGTGGAATTGGTGACTGTGGCAGAGAGTAAAAATAGAGACAAATGTTTCCCCTCCCTGAATCCCCTAACTTTGCATTGACCTTGCAGATCCTTACATCAAGAGGTAGCCTGTGTCTTTTTTTCTTGAATCCGCTATATGACTTGTTTTGGTCCATAGGACCTTGGCAAAGACAGTGCAAGCAAAGGCGAGGAAGGTGTTTACCCGCTGGGGCATGTACTCTTGCTAGTCTTGGAACCCCGGCGCCACGTGATCAAAGCAGATGAGCCTTATGCCCCAATCATCCCTGTAGCCCCAACTGATGGCCAACCAACCCCTAGGGGTCGTGTCACCAAGACCACCAGCAGCAACTGACCACAGACACGTGACAGTCCAGCCAACACGAGCAGAGTAGCCCAGCCCAAGCTGTCAATCACCAACAACTTGTTAAGTAAATGAATGGTTGTTTTAAGCCTCTAAACTTTGAGGCGTTGTTTTCATAGCAAAAGCTAACTGATAGCCATGCTCGGGAAGAGAGCTACAGGGCAGAGCGTCAATCAAAATGGTTTGGTCAACAGTGATCTTTGGTGGTGGTTACTAGATCATGGGAGCCCTAGGACTGAAACAGAAGCATGGCCCATTTAATGAAAAGAATTCTGGCAAACAGAAAGTTGGGTCACCAACCCCGCAGGTCATATCCCCAGAGTCCCTAGGATGAAGTGGAGGCCAGGTACCACAAGGAAGGCTGCTATGGTAACATCATAATTATGTACTGTGAATCTTCCTAACTATCCCCCAAAGGACCTGCAGTGATTTCCCAAGGTAACTGTTCAGTGGAGAAATAAAAATCCATACTGTCCAGGGATTATTGGACTATGGCTCTGAGCTAGCACTAATCCAGGGGACTCAGAGCAACACTATTGCCCACAGAGCAAGGGCTAAAGGAGGGCAAGTGATAAATGGAGTTTTGGCTTAAATCCAACTCATAGTGGGCCTAGGGGGCATACAAATTCACTCTGTAGTAATTTCCCAAGTTCCTGGGTTTTCTTTTTTTTTTAATGTTTATTTGTTTTTGAGAGAAAGAGAGCATGAGTGGGGGAGGGGCGAAGAGAGGGGGACAGAGCATCCAAAGGATGCTCCCCCCTGACAGCAGCAAGCCCAACTCAGGGCTCAAACTCACGCACCGCGAGAACATGACCCCAGCCGAAGTTGGACGCTTAACTGGCCGAGCCACGCAGGCACCCCTCAAGTTCCCGGGTTTTCAGTTGTAACAGAGGTAACCAGCAACTGGCAAAACACCCCAACTGGCCTCCTGACCTATGGGGTGAGAATTTTTCTGT